TTTTTTTTTTTTTGAGGGGGTGGGTGGTGGATGGTTTGGTTTGGTTTGGTTTTGGTGGGGTGAGGGGTTGTGGATTTGGGGGAGGGGAGAGGAGAGGGAGAGGGGGATTTGGGGAGAGGAGAGATTGGATGTTTGATTGTAGATGTGGTGTAGTATGGTAGTATAAAGAGAAGAGAAGAATAGATCTTTTGGTAAATTATTCAGAGTCTTGTGCGGGACTGGTCTTTTGTGGAACGTGTGTTCAATAAGCGGTAATTCTATATCATCTATCGAGTAGAGGGCTACGGGCGGAATGGGTATCTAGTCTAGTAGATTATAGCGCTCGCGGAAAGGAAAAAGAGAGGGGGAGTCGATGATTATTTTCTCAGTTGTGTGATCTTTTTTTTAGGGGGGGCGGAGGGGGCGGGTTGGTATGTAATAGCTAAGTTGTCTATGGAAGCTTATTTTTTTTAGTTTGGGCTAATGACGTAGTGTAGTAGGTAGAGTGTCGAGTGTAAGAGGGTAAATGGATGGGTATATAACTCTTTCCTCGTAGCTGGGTGGTAATTTAGAAATTAGTATTAGCAAGCAATGGAATTCAATAGTATATACCTCCTCCTACAAACAGTAGGATATAAACGCTTGTTGAAGAATTTCTTCATTGGGTGTAGGTGATCTTGAACTATTCTCTGTGGTATAAACGATGGGTTTCTCCTCTCCTTTTTTCTTGTTGGATGGGGGTATGGGTGGTTATATTTTGGGGGTAAGTAAGATCTCGACGGTAGGAAAGGCTTTAGGAGGTTTTCGTTCGGATGGAGGGAAGATGAAAGTTCTATCTCGCCAAGAGAATGGGATGAAGTTAGTTCTAAGAAAGGGGGAGGGGGGTTTTATAGCTCTGCAGTTTCTATGGGGATGTGTTTGGGGTGAAAGGTGTTGGGTAGGGTTTGCTTGGAAGAGTGAGAGTTTATTTACTTGTTTTGTTCCTTGATTCTATTAGGGATAAAGATGGATTAATAGTAGTTGACATATTTCCTCTACTTCGAGTACAACTAGTTGGTGTACATCCTTGGTGTGTTTGAGTATAATAAGTCTTTTCTTTTTTGAAATCCGGAAAATGCTGTTGATGATTAAAGTATAATTTGGATGAATTATGGCTATATTCGTGTAATCTTTGGGTTTATCTAGGATATAATTCATGATATAGGTTACTAATACTTGGTAAATATAGGCTATGTAGTCTTTTGTTCTTTTTATTGGGTATTTTATCTCTGCTATATCGTATTAACAGTCATAGCTCTTTCTAGTGAGCTGTATTCAGAAATAACTCCGCTTGTTAATATTCTACCAACGACTCTTGGAAGGAACCCTGTGATGTGCTGGTGGATTGCTCTAGCTCCCATCTCCCTAACCAAACAGCCGTGGAGTGCTAGTATATAATATGATAAGCAGAAAGTTTCTAATAGCGAGAGTAAAGAAAACAACGATGAAGATGATGCCGACAGGTGTAGTAGTGAAGACAAGGAAATCATGAGATCATGTACACGGTAGGTCTTAGTATTGTTCGTCTTGCACAGTTGCACTGAACTTCTCACCGGAGCTTAGGATCATGTTGTTACTATACCCTGAACTTTCTCTTGTTTTCGATAATAAGTGAGGACTTCGATGATAGGGAAGATTTCGGATGTACTTTGTTCGGATGGAAGGTCTAGCTACCTGTGGGAGGTAGCAGGAGGGTGAGGTGGTGAAGGGGTTTAGAGTGTGTGCCGTTATAGTAGATGATGTGGTTAGGAGGGTATGTAAAAAGATGACGAACTCCGATGTACTGCTTTGAGCATCGGTTCTGCTTTTGAATTAGATGAGTTCTTGGATAGCACAAGTATATATATCCTGGTTGAAGGATGAGAAGTAAGATTTGGGTTTAGAGATAGTATTTGAGGATTGATTGTGTGGGAAAACACTAGTATGGTGGATAGTGTATTTCTTAGGCTTTTTATGGGGTTAATTTAGGATTTGTTGTCAGGGATAGATAAGGAAGGAGGGAGTAAATAAGTGTATATGTGGTTTTTGGAATATTATGAGGAGGTAATATAGACTTGGTTGATTTTTCCACTAGAATGCTAGGCAGGCCTTGTGTTCCATAAAAGCTAGTGGGATTAGAACAGAAAGAGGATGTGTTATCTCTCCTAAGATATCCTTTATGTTCCGTACGCACTAGGAAGATAATAATATCCTTCTAGTTATCTACTCTCTACTATACATTATCCTTATTCGTTTCTATATATATTTCCAGTTCTTTCTTGACATTTCTCATTTACCCCTCCCCTCACATTTCCCAACTACAAATACCCAAGTATAAATATTAACGATGTATCAATATTACAAAGCCAGACCGAACCTCGTTATTTGTGCGTATAACAAGAGAACGCACCGAAGAGTAGACACGTCGCTACTTTCGCGTACAGTAATAGCGTAAAAAAACGATCTGTTGATTTATAAACTTGCTTAGAATATCCACCTATCCAAGCAAAGAGAATTAGGTAATCCGAACTTTCTACATTCGGATTTTATCTTACTCTCGAGGATACCCTTACCGTCCAACTCTACAACACTGTACCGCCGAGTATATTATCAGCGCTATTTCCAATACACCCCAAAACTTCCATAAATGTCAAGCCAGGAACGACCAAAAGAACACCAACAAACAGCCGACTAAAAGTAGGAGAGCTCTATATCTAAAATAATATTAAGAACTATTAAGCGTAATAGGAGACTCGAATATGGCTTATTGTTTAAGTATTAACTACAAGAGAGGAAAGAAGCTATTTATAGATTCATAGGTCTGTAATATATTATAGTACGCTACTTAATTAAAGGTAGAAGTTAATGTCAGAATTTGCTTAATAATAACTAAACTAAATAATATTCTAAAAAGAGAGGCGTTTCGTGATGTTTCTTATGACTTAATATTATTGTAATTAAAGCTCGCTGGGATTTTTTGATATATCGAGTATTTAGGGCTAAGAGAACGTTTAGGGTATACAGACTAGCGTGTAAATTGGTAGTCTGTCGTTATAAAGGTAGTAGTTTGCTTTATAGGGAATAAAGAAGATTACATAGTTAGAGAACAGGTTTAGGGAGGGGTTCATGAAGCTGAAATATACCAGATGTAGAAGACGTGATTTAAGAGAATTAATGGAAGGTGTTTAAGTAGGTCTAGAATTTTCTCTAGGTGAGTGATTCTCTGAATTTGGTGTTATATTGGTATTACTACCCCTATACTTGTACCTTAGGAAAATAGTGATTTTGTAATATCTTTCTCATACCTATTAAAACACTCTCTAAGTAATACACCATATTAAACATTTCCTGTCACTATATTTATACATTAGCGTTTCTACTACCACTACCAACAAAACCCTCCCTACTCTCCACTCTCTAAACCCCCTGTAGAAATACAGACTCTACAACTATTCTAAACTACGAGAAAGATATCCACGTAACCAATTTCCAACACCCGTCCTTATATTTCCAGACTTGAAATTTCCGCTCTTACAATTACCTCAAACTCCACGACTCCCCTAACATCCAAATCTACACAGTACATCCTCACCATTCCTAATAATTCCTCTTTCACTATCCAGCCCCAGCCACTTCCACTCCATCCCACTATCCAGCCCCAGCCAATTATCCCTAAATAATCCTACCCACTTCCACCCCACCCACTTCCACCTCCCA